TTTTCCTAATAAGCTGCTGGTGGATTTAAAACACCAACTCTTTGCTTAACAGATAGATCTTAAACCACTGAGGAATCAAGGCTTCAATGAATAGCCTGTAAGGTCCTTGAATGAAATGAGAGCAATTTAACTTAATGACTTAATGATCACAAACAATAATAGTCTTCTTCCCCACCCCTTTTAATGGAAGTTTACAGACTTAGGGTTTCCAGTCATTCATTGTTGCACCTTTTTCCTTGCCCATTCCCTCCCTCCAATTCACTTTTTCCTAGACTCATTTTATGAAGCAAACATATCCTTGATATCAAAGCCAAATAAATGCATCACCAAAATGGAAAACTGTAGGCCAATAGCTCTCATGAACATAAATGAAAAAATCCTGAATTAAATCCTGGCCAATAGAATCCAATGATACATCAAAAAAATAATTCACCATGACCAAGTGGGATTCATAACACATATGCAAGGATGGTTCAACATAAGAAAAATAATCAATGTAATTCATCACATTAACAAAGCAAAAAACAAGAATCACAGGATCCTATCAATTGGTGCAGAAAAGGCCTTTGACAAAATTCAACACTCTTTCTTGATTAAGACACTCAACAAAATAGTATTAGAGGGAAATTTCTTCAACTTAGTAAAGCAATAGTCTTTTAAAGATTGAGATCTGAGAAAGAACTGTGCTGTGAAAATTTATGGTAAAAGTTAAAAATTTTAAACCTGGTAATTAAGGCCTGTTGTATACAAAGCAAAGACAGAGGTAGCAAGAAGATAATGTAAAATATTCAACAGAATTTACAGAAACCAGGAATTGGAGAATTCAAAGGGAGGAATTTGTTTAGTATTTCTTAAGCTGAAAGAACAGAAAATACAAATTCAAACCTCAAGGTACAATATTGAGAGATGTTAGGGGTAAAATCTTTAATGGTCCAGGAAATATCAAAAGATGACAGAGAGAATACATGGAATCACAGTATCATTGACTGACACTTAAATGTTTCAGAAAGTACCATATGATTAAGGGCCAATGGCAATGAAGCAAACATTTCAAACTGCACTAAAGGCATTGGCAAGAAAATAAGGCACCAAGAATTGATGGCATACCAATTGCTATGTTTCAAGTAATATAACGTCCTGCTCACACTCACCCCCCTATACTAGGAAGTTTGTAAGACAGCTGCCTAACAGACTGGACTAGAAGAGACCCATATTTGTTCCCTTTCCCAAGAAGGGTGATTAAAGATAATGTGGAAATTGTTGTTGTTGTTATGTGCCATCGAGTCGCTTGCGACTCATAGCGACCCTATGTACAAGAGCTCTAAATGCCATTCTATCCTGTGCCAACCTAGCCATCTCAAACACATTCATTCCCACCTCTCCAGTCACAGAATTGATCCATCTCATTGAAGGTCTTCCTCTCCTTTGCTGCCCCTCCACTCTGCCAAACATTATGTCCCTCTCCAAGGACCAGTTCCTCCTTGCAACATGCCCAAAGTATGTCAGACGAAGCTTCAGAATTCTTGACTTCAAGGAGCATTATGGCTTCACCTTCTCTAGGACAAACCTGTTTGTTCTCCTAGCAGTCCATGGTATACTCAACACTCTTCTCCAGCACCACAGCTCAAACAATTTTACCAATATCACATGAAAATAAAATACTGCTGAAGATCACTCAGAAATTACTAGAACAGAGAAATTACTAGACAGAGAACTGTCACAAGTTCAAACTGGATTTAAAAGAGGCAGAGGAACCAGGGATATCATTGCTGATGTCAGAGGAATCCTAGCTGAAAGCAAAAGAATATTAGGAGAATGTCTATTTGTGCTTTATTGACTCAACAAGGCATTTTTTTTATATGGACCATAACAAATTATGGCCATCATTGAGGAGACTAGGAATTCCAGAACACTTCATTGTGTTCATGTGAAACCTAGACCTAGACCAAGATTCTGTTGTGAGAACAAAACAAGGGGAAATTACATGTTTGAAAATGAATAAAGGTGTTCATCAGAATGGCATCCTTTCTCCATACCTGCTTCATCTGTTTTGAACAAATCCTTTAAGAAGCTGGGCTTTATGAAGAGGAATGTGGCATTAGGATTGGAAAAAGACTTATCAATAACCTATGTTATGCTGATGACACAAGCTTGGGTTACTGAAAGTAAAATGAACTTTAAGTACTTCCTGCAAAAGATCAAAGAAAACTACCTCCAATATGGAATACATCTCAATGTCAAGAAAAAAAAAATTCAAAAACAACTAATAACTAGACTGGTAGGTAACAGATAGATGTAGAAAAACTAAAACTGTTAATGAGTTAATCTTATTTGGATCTATAAACAACACCATTGGTACCAGTAGTCAAGAGATCAAAAGACTATTCCCAGTATTGCACTGGGAAAGTCTGCAGTTAGGAACCTCTTCAAATTACTGAAGAGTAATGATGTCACTTTGAAGACTAAGATGCACCTAATTCAGGCCATGGTCTTTAAATCAGTTGCTATTCATCAGAATGCTGGACAATGAATAAGGATAACATAAGATGAAATTATGTCTCTGATCTGTAATGTTGGAGAAGAGTACTGAATATTCCATAGCTTGCCAAAAAAAAACAAGCAGATATGTCTTGGAGAAAGCAGTCATATTTCTTCTTAATGACAAGGAACTCTTATAAATTGTTTGATGGGATTGTAAAATGGTATAACCATTCTGTAAGGCAGTTTGGTGCTTGCTCGAACATAGAACATAGAACATGGAACATAGAAATTCCATATCACCCAGTTATTCCACTACTTGGAATATACCCTGAGAATATGAGAACTGAGGCACAAACTGAGATTTGTATACCAATGTTCATAACAGCATTATTCACTAACACAAGAACATGGAAACAGCCCAAAAGTACAACCACAAATGAATGGATTGAGAAATCATGGCACATTCACACAGTGGAATACTATGTAGCACGCAGGAGCAATGATTTTGTAAATTATTACCTAACTTGAGAGGACCTAGAAGGCATTATGTTGAGTCAACTAACTCAGTCCTACAAGGATAAATACTGTATAAAACCATTATTGTAGAAAGAGTATAAGGATCCAAGAGTGGTAGGAGAGTTTATAAGCAGAAGGATGAGGATATTCAGGCAGAGGGGAGGGTAATAATCACGGGTTGTAGAATTTGATGGGTGATGAGGAAAAGGGAAAGAATTTGTCCTTGAAAACAATGTATTCAAATTTTGTAAATAAGCCAGTAGAAAATAAAAAAAAAAAAAAGACAAACGAAAAAACATTATCTACTAGTCTGCAGAAGAAACATTGGCAATTTCCTTCAGTGCAATTATTGCCTCTGAAAACTAGCTGGCAGGTCAGTTCTGAGTTGTTTCTGACTCTACAGCATATAACAATAACAACAATGCAAATAAACAACCAAATGGACAAAAAGGTAACTATGTTTTATCTCCCATACTTTAGGAATGTTGCTAAGAAAATTACGTGTGTGTGTGTATTTGTGTGTGTGTGTGTGTGTGTGTGTACATATATACACTGGTAAAGGAAAGGATTTGGGATTCCAGAGTTATCACAACATTCAAATGTCACAGTATCAACAGAAAATTGCAAGGCATAAAAGAGAGTAGAAAAAATGCAAGGGAAGCCACTGATTGAGGAAAAAAATATTTGGTAATGATTTGTCAGTCAAGGGACTTGTATCTAGAATTTACAAAATATTCGAGGACCAAAACAAGATAAAGGTAAATAATTCAATTACAAAATGGACATAGGATATGAACAAACACTTCACCAAAGAAAACATTCAGATGGCCAACAGGCACATGAAGAAATGTTCAAAATCCCTAGCTTTGAGAGAGATGCAAATCAAAACAACTATGAGATATCATCTCACTCCAGTAAGAATAGCAAAATTTAACAGAACAGCAAGCATCAAATGCTGGCGAGGTTGTGGAGAAACTGGCCTCCTTATTCACTGTTGGTGGGAGTGTAAAAATGGTACAACCGCTATGGAAGGCTGTATGGCACTTTCTCAAAAAGTTGCAAATAGAAATACCATTTGACCCAGAAATTCCACTACTTGAAATAAACGCAAAGAAACCATAACCACCACCCAAGCAGATATATGTAGCATCCATGTTTATTGCAGTTTTGTTCACAATAGCAAAGAGTTGGAAACAATCTATGTGCCCATCAATAAATCAATGGATACAGAAGCTCTGGTATATTCACACAATGTAATACTAAGCTGCATTGAAAAAGAAGGAACTCATGACATATTATACAAAAAATTGGTGAACCTGGAGGACATTATGCTGAGTGAAATATCTCAATCACCAAAGGACAAATATTGAATAGGGCAACTGTTGTAAAATAGGACTGACATCAGGGTTGAGGGAAGACTGAGAAGGAGGGGATGAATGATGTATACTGCATTGAAACAGATGATGGAGAGAACTATTTAAAACGGATATATGATTAGGTATTATTGTCATGACAGGAGTTCAGAAGGAAGACTGCATAGTGGAGTGTACTTCAGGGGAGAGATTGTATAACAGTGAAAGAATTTTTCTTTTACTTTTCAAAGAGAAGAGGGAATTGTGGGGAGGGATGAGCAGGGAAAAAAGCACAACAACAAATGAATGGAAATCCTAAGTCTCTGTAAACTTTCATTAAAATTAATTTTAAAAATTGCAAGGAAAAAAGGAAGTCGAAAACATGACACATTCAAAACAATACAGAAAGACAAAATGCGTTGCGGAATCAGGGGTAATGTGAAAATATAGGATGTTAAAAAATATTAAACACAGGCTACGAATTTCAAAACTATTCAGACAATAAACTAAAACAAGTCAGAAATCAAAATGAAAAATTCTAAGGGTGATAAAAAAATAAGGAAGAATTACTAGTAGTAACTATATGTACTACATATTTTTGTTTTGAATTCCACTTCCCAAAACCGTTTAAAGAAAAAAAAATTGCTTTACCCAGTTAGTTTGACTGCATGTGTCCGAAGTTTCCTGTATTTTCCTGATTCTTCCTCTGTACTGACGACATGCCTATATATTCCTGTCTTATAATGGAAGAAATCCTCATGGACTTGCATTATGGCTAAAATTTAGAAACCAACAGAAAAAATGAGCAATTGTTGTAGAATATTTTTGTTTCATTCTGTAAAATTATGCTTAAAACTTTTAGAAATTCTCACAACAAAAATCACAGGGTAAATGACTGGGTATTGAACCTAACAGATTTCACAAAGCAGCCTAATTTTTTTTTCCTCCTTAATTTAGTTTGTTGTAAATTGTATTGTTCTCTTACAAAAAAAAATTTTAAAACCCCAAACATTTAGCTTTTTAGATTACTACTTAAATACATATTATAGTTTTAAAACTTCATCTATTCTTAATCAACAGCTACAGTATTACTAATATTTGAGCTCCTTACAGCAAAATCAACTCTTATTTTGCAGGTGATTATTGTTTCTCCATTAACTTTGTCTCTGTGAGCATCTTAAAATTCTATTTTTTTTAAAGTGAAAATTGAGCCTAGCAAACCCAGATTAGAGTAATTTTGCTTAGTCCTTAGATGTAAATACCAATCATTCCCTGGGTAAGGTTGAATACAAAACAAACCCTTGGCAAAGAACACTACGACAAATCTTAACTTCCCAGTTCTAGAGAGATGCCAATGTCATAATCTTTCAAAAATACACCTTATACTTTACAGAATTCTTTTTCATTCTCCCACACACATTTTTTTCTGTGTTGTGTGTTGATTTGCTGAAGGACTTGAGCAAAGTAAGGTGAAGGTTTTAAACTTCTAGAAGATATGAATTAAAGATATTTTCATTGGAACTAGTTTAGTATACTTTGATAAAAGTACACATTGCCAATCTTACTTTTAAAACTTAACAGTTTCTTATTTATTTCATTTTTTTAAATTTTCCATGCCTTTGCTGTGCTGTATGTATACTCCCAGAAAGAAGTAAAATTTTCTGTCTGTTGTAAAATACATCTTTGTTGGATTTTAACAATTCACATAACTGTTCATTATATAACATATATTTTATAGATATAGATATGTTATCTATTTCTTTTTTTATTTCAATCTCTTATGCTTATATTTAACTCTATAGATTTTAGAAACATAGATACAGTGTTATTTATTTAGTGATCTATTTCATTTTACACATTGAGACATAAAAATGAAATGTATGTTAGTGCAGGCAAAAATAAATTAGATGAGTCAACCAACATCTTATCCATTTATAAAAATATGCATGTGTTGCTAGTGAATTTATTTTATAAAGCCGTGTGATTCACCTCTTCTTTATGCAACAGGAATGAAATAGATCTTTTTTTTTCCTAAATTGCTTTAAAATATTATATAAAAAAATACAAGTAAGAAGCCATTAAGATTAACTTTAAAATGTGGCTCCTCTCTGCAGTTGTTGACATCAAAACAGACTTGATAGACTCACTCACCTATATAAGCTACCTTAGTGCAAATTTACTTTTGGAAAAATGCAGCAACAGCAACATATTACAAGGATTCTTACACACCTGCCTTAATTGCTGCCTTGCTGCCTCTACCTCTTTGCTAACAGAAAGCAGGTTCTCCATAAATGTGTTAAAAGGATGTTGCGTAGTTAGCATAATTGATTTCATTGCCTTGAAATTGTCACTATTTTGTATTCATCATGAACCTTTCAAAGACAGTTAAGTATATGGCTATAAAATTAACCAAAAATATTCTCAATCTTAAATAATTATGATCTGAATGTATTTTGACTGATTAAACAAAGAGCACAATGTATATGAATGAAAACAATATATTTATAAATTTTTTTGTGCAAGTCAATATATTTTTTTAAATATCCTTAAGTGTAAAGAAATTAAAATAAACAGTAAAAAAAAATGGCTTGATGATTCAAAGAGGTTAAGTAACTTGTCCAAAGTCATTTTGGTAGAAAAATGGCAAAATTAGATTCTTTAACTGAATCCTGAGTTCAAATTCCTGTGATATTTACAACTTGTTAGTAAGCTTCATTTTATAACGTACATAGAGAGGACTCCATCTTAGCTTACAGGATGTACACATCCTACAATTTTGAGAAAAAAACGCTAAAAATAAAATGTTTCTCTGTATATTTTGGATTCTGAGTGACATTCCAGGATTTTTTTCAAATTAAACTCAATACTTGTTTAGTATGTACTTTGTTTTCTCTGAAAATGCCAAATGGTGAATAATGATCAATAAATGTTCTCTCACCACAATTATAAAATCTGGTTCCCAGCTAGATATTAAATCAATACCAATTAGAGCTGCATTTATAAAACAAAAACTGGACAAATATTAACTTTTCAAATTTAAATTAGTTTTAACTTAATTGTCAGTCACTTAACATTTCCCTGCATGATAAAATAAGCATTTCAGATTCAACAGTTATTCCATATATTTCAAAACAATGTTTAATATTGGAAATATATGCTGTAAATTTATTGTTCTTATCCATGCATTTGGTATAAGATATTTTTGATACGTAAGTAAAGAACTATTTATCAAAGATGTTTTAAAAATCAAAGTCCTCACACAGTAAATGACTGTATTCTTTTCCTATATGTTACTTGATTTTTTACCATACTGTATTTACAAAATCCATCAAAACATAAAATCTTTACTAAAACACAAAATCCATACTGAATTTATTATGAGCTACAGGGACTGCTAAGAAAACAAACAAGTTCATCCTGGAGAGAGGGTTAAATGAGGCCTCTCCTTGTAGGCAAGGATTCTGAAGCATCTTCTGACATACTTTGGACATGTTGTAAGTAGGGACAGGTCCGTGGAGAGTAATGTCATACTTGTCAGGGTGGAGGGACAGCACATGAGACAAAGACCCTCAATGAGATGGATTGATTCAGTGACTGGAGTAATCAAGATGGGTGTGTCAAAGACAGTGCGATTGACACAGAATAGAGTTTAGGGCTGTTATACATAGGGTCACTATGAGTTGAAGGCGACTGGATGGCACATAACAACAATAACAATAACAACAACAAAGAGAAAGTCTATAATTTTTTTTTCTACTATTAATCCTTGTTGTCGAATACCATAGATCAGAATGGACCTATAGCTGACCTATAGCAGTGGGTTTTCAGAGGCAGTTAATTGCACAGATTCTCCATCCTTCTCCTTATGGAGGAGTTGGTGGATTAGAACCCCTTGCCTCGGGTTCCAATGCAGTTTCTTATCACTAGGCCACCAGAGTTCCCTTTAAGCCTTATTCCAGTAATTATCTAAATTATTTAATCTGAAGGTGAGAAAATATTTAACACAATATTAAATTCTTAATAGTGGTTGAATGAATAAAATGAGCACCATTGCAAATCAATCACTTCACATTTCATATTTTTCTGTTTAATCTACAATCACTCTCAAAAGACTTAGCTGACTTTGATCAAATGTGTCACAAATGTTTAAGAGTTGAACTCTCTTTAGTTCAATTTGTAAGTTTGGCATCTTAAAATAAAATGACAACTCAGGAAGTTCATAAGCGGCTATATCTTCCATAACTGCACTGATGTTAGAGCTGTTAAACATTTATGAATAATGCAGAAGTGGAAATGTTCTTTCTTATTTTGAAGTGTGTTGAAATTAAATGTCATATATTAAGATACAACTGTATCTCATGTAAGCTTACCTTGAACGGGTCCATTTTGCATGATTTCTTTCATTATCTCAGTTTCCTAGAAAGCAAATTTCATTAAGCATCATCCTTGTAACCAGAAGTCACAAATTCTTTAAGTAGCAGGTGTTAGGTGTTGCACAATTACCATTAAAGGCCATGCGTACTTATATTTATATATTAGATCAGTTTTGAAATACTTACACATGAAATGATAAATTTTATCACTCAGTTGTTGTTATGTGCCATCTGGTCAGAACTAACTCTTGGCTTAAGCTCCAGCAGGTTCTTCAAGGATGTAATTACACTGGAGGAGATTGTCCATGTTTCTCTCTTGAAGCAGCTGGTGGATTCAAACCGCCTACCCTTGGATTGGCAGTGCATATCTCTAAGTCTACAAGAGCTCCTTTTAACACTAAATGTAATTGATGTTGTTAGATGCTACTGAGTCAGCTCTGACTCATAGTAACCCTATTAATAATATGATAACTATCTTGAACCTTGTCCTATCTTGTCCCATCCTTATCATTTCTGACATACTTGAGCCCATTGCTACACTCAGTATGTAAAGCTATCTCATTAAGGGTCTTCCTACCTTCTTACCCTGCACCTTCCCAAGCCTTATGACGTTTTCCAAGGAATAGCCCTCCTAACAATGTGCCCAAAGCATATGAGATGAAGTTTTGTCTCCAAGGAGCACTCTGGCTGCACTTTCTCCAAGACATATCTGTTTTATTGACTCTCTAAGGAATACACAATAGTCGACTTCAAAACCGGAGCTCAAATGTATTGATTTTCTTCTGTCATGCATATTGATTGTGCAACTATCAGATGCATACTAAATTATGTTTGTCAGAAGTAATTTCATCAGTCTAATGTTCTCAACCTTCATCCATAATTTAGCATATATGAGGATTTAGCTGAGTAAAGTTCAATCGTACGTTTGTATGTGTTACATGTTGTTTGTCAATTTTTTTGGAATTGTCAAGTATATATGTGCACCATAAGGGAGCTCTGCTGGCTGTTAAGTAATTGTGATGCTAACTCAAAGGTACATGGTTCAAATCCACAAACTGTTCTGCTCAAATAGGAAGGGCAAACTCCTCCTGTGTGATTTACTACCTCTAAAAACCCACCGGTGAGTCAACTGTGGATCAGTTCAAATTTAGTAGTATACATCAATAATATATATGTACCATAAAAAAGAATATTAATTATATTTGAAAACGCAACATTTATTATTTTTGTTGTTATTATGTGCAATAAAATTGGAATTACTTAATAATTGACCCTTCCACAGGTTTTCCGAGGCTGTAAATTCCATGGAAGGAGATTGCTCTTTTTTACCATGGAGCAGCTGAAGAATTCATACCACCTACCTTATACTGGCAGCTCAACTCCTTACCAGTAGGCGACCAGAACTCCCTACATCATTTTAAACTTATTTTCGTAATAATGAGACTACCTGCTTTTGAGAAAGGCAGATGTAATTCATTTCCCTCCATTTAAACTTACATTAGAAGAGACTCTGTATGGAGGAGAACATTGGTAGATCCTGTTAGACTTCTCAATGTTGTTGGGGCATGGCTTTGTGGCATGTCGTTTTCCTCGACCATCAGGTCTACTTGCCATGGCACAGCCATTAATGCTGGCATTTTGGTCCTTGAAAAGTGGGTAGCATGCATGTGATACCAGCCTATCGGGAGTAAGCAAAAAAGCAAAGGTTTATTTAGGAAAGTGCCATAATATGCTCTATGTTCAATTTTTACTGAGTTAAACATTCATAGTCTGACTACTTAACTATATAATTTTCAAAATTTCAACTGACACCATCACAGAAATTAAATGACATTATACTTCTTCCATAAGCCATTATTTCTTTTTTATAATTTTAAATATCTGGCTTTAAATCACTACAATGAATATTTCTATCTGTAGTACAGGCATATCCAGGGTTAAGAACGTCTTATTTACAGTCAACTCCTTCTGGCTTTAAAAGGTACTTAAACATGCCCTCATTTGGAACAATTTAATCAAGTACTATGCAAACAAAGTTTTTATCACAGTTGCTTTAACCTGTTGCATGTGCAGCTTTCAATTACTGAAGAAGCTTTGAGTCTTTTCTAGCACTAATTCATACTCATTGTCATTGACTCAGAACTGATGCTAGGTTTCCTAGGTTGAAAATCACATAATAGGACTTGTCCATCTTTATTCCCTGGAGCTGTTGGTGAGTCCAACCACCAGAGAGGCAAAGACTTTAGATCTGCCGAACAGTTTCCAATGGACTGGCCACAAGACCTCCCCTTCTAGTTAGTAGTAAAGAAAAGCTAAATAAGAACCACATGCACTTGTTCAAATTCATCTACAAATTCTTGAAGACTCAGTTTGGAACAATTCTTGTTCTTAACCTGGGGACTATCTGCATTGTTTTTCTTGAAGACAGAATAATGACTATCAATAATGTCTGTGATAAAAATAGTAGAGGAAGCCATATTTTATTCTCTCTCTATAATTACAATGTAGGAGAGTCAAATTTAGTACTGAAAAGATAATTTGATTATATTCAAATGGGATTTTCTGATAAATTATGCAAGTTTTAGGAAGTATACTTTTAGTTCTTAATAAGTTGTAAATATCTTCTCATAAGACTTAAGTAGTATATAAAAAAAGTTCATAAGACTTTTTAGGGAATGGCAAATTCTAATAAAATATAAAAAGTTAGCACTGAGAAAATTTATCAGATGTATTTATTACAAAAATAATTTTAATTTCTTATTTTGGAACTGAACATAGCAAATTTGCACTTTCCAAAGAATAAATTATTTTACTGCAAATCAAATATAATTATATGGACTACATAAACAGTAAAGGCATATAAAATCATGGAACTGGTATGCAAATATGCAGGACTAACCTAATCAAAGACCAATCTAGGATGACTGCTTCAAGAAAAGTTAAAGTGAGTATGAGAATCTGAACAAAGAGTGTGATGAAAGTAAAAACATTAAAAACATTCACACTCTTAAGAAAAAAAATTAAGAACAGATTCCACGTGGGTTTTACCTGAGAAAAACTTGTGACATTGTTAACTGCAGATTAGAGGACACAGATAAGCTGTTGCTACCTTAGTTACTGGGTTCAAAAGATGCTTTGATTCTGTAAGATGGTACTCTTACATGAGAGTATTGAAATGCAAGTTATCTTTTCTCATCAGTTGTAATGAAGACAATTATACTGATGAGTAAAAGAAATCGTAAATTATTTTTGTCAATCTTTCTTTGTGTAATCAAATTTCACCGGGTATTACAAATTTACCTAGTTGAAATACTCAACAGAGATATTAATAACATTGATTCTTTTATTCCCCTCAAAGGGACTCACTAGAACCATTTGACTCAAAGTAATAAGAGAAATTTTGAGTCTTCAATACTAAATTAGCTACTCTGAATTTCACTCACTCGTGTATTACTGTAGAACTAGGACTTATTCATAGCCAACCCTCCATTGATTTCCAAAGCAGTAAATCACAACAGAACGAGATTGTTCCTCTTTCTACCAAAGAACTACTGGTGGACTTGTACTGTAAAAAAGGCACAACTTTTAGGTAAAAGAAATGCCAATTCCCATGGAATATGCCACCAGAGCTCCTCGAATTTAAATAAGACTGTGTATATTCTTGAAATAACTATTTAAAATAGTTTATAACTTCACTAGATATGATATCATGCATATTTAAATACAACACATACAAAATTAATCATTATTCTATATATAAGCAGTATTTATAAGAATCCTAGAAATACATGTTGGGCAGCTATTTACCCACGTTTTCTCAGGTACCACCAAGCCCTATCAATGCTTCCACTGTTGCATCCATGCCGGTTCTTAGGACAGCAAGAGATCAAATTTTGGGGAGATAGATTAGACGTGTAGCGACCTTTGGATTGAATTGCTATCCGGTCAGCTGCCACACCTGTTCCAAAAACAATGTAATTAATATTCAAATGGCACAAAGTTCTTGTTTTGTTTTGTTTTTTGCTTAGGTGAGGTGCACCTTAATCTTTTTCTTAAGTTGATTTTCATGCAATAATTCATATACATTGTGTTTCATTGATGTAAACTGTGCTTTATATAATCTCTCATTTACATTGTATTTTGTACATGTATTCATATATGTTGTGTTCCATATAATTAATAATAGTCTATGCCCATTATTTCCCTGTTTCTGGAGTCCTCACTGAATCTTTTCTATTCCTTCAAACCCATCTGCCCTCCAAACTCCACCATCCTAGTGATTTCTATCTCTCCTCCCTTTTCAGCGTTTTCCCTTTTCCCTTACCTTTTTGGAAGTTTATACACATCCTACTAGTTATCCTTCTGTTTTTACAAATAATATTCTCATAAAGTGTTTCTACAAAACTTTACATGAAACTAACTCTAAACCTAACGCCATAGAATGAGTCTGGCTCATGGCAACTGTGCTATGTAGCAGATTATTTAACAGGGCTTTGCTAGCTATTGTCTTTGATTTTTCACCTCAGAGCTGAGGTAGGACTATGTTAATAATGTGAATGAGGTAAATAGCACATTTAGAATCTTGCAAACATACAAATGCAGTGTTTAGACTACTAAGAAGAGGGTTATTCAGTTTTACCATTCACCAGGGATTAAAGTCAGTGGATTCAGAAGCAAAGAATGGAAAACTCACTTTCATCGAGAGAAGAAACAGAAAGTGAAGCACAGCCTTTACAGCTAGAGATTCCTATGGAAAATGAACTTGAGATACAGCTGAACTGGAATTGCCTCCTCATAGAGCCAGAGCTGTGGGGATACATAACTGGTCATACTAAAAGAGTTTCGTAACACTTATCCAGAGTAGTGAGGCTGGGCCCAGTGAATATGAAGATCAGAGGCCTAATAGCATGTCTCAGCTGTTGACCTGATTGAAGACTTGTATCCTGCTTCCAACCTGAATTGTAACCTGTTTTCCCCTAATAACCCCCATAATCATGAATATTATTAGCTGTGTGTCACTGCATTGGGTTGGCAGACCTAGTAGTAGATCAGCAATTACGCTGGGAGGGATGGTTGGTCTTAGAATCAGTAGAAGAAAGTTCAGGAGCATGATGGATTATGTGAATTAAGGGGATTCAGCTTTGTGCTGTTGGTTTTTCAATTACTCTTGTGGAATTAGTGGAGGTCATATGACACCACTGCCCATCCTGGCTGCACTCTTTTTACAGGAACTTTGCATTCCCTTTCCGAAACAGTAAATCTCTAAGGGAAGAGACAGGCCATGCTATTCCCACAGAGCAGCTAGTGGACTTGAACTAGCTACCTTTTAGTTAGCCATGGTCCAAGTAACACATTATACCACAGAGCCTCCTTGACATGTAACTCTCTCTAACTCATTGTTTTTAAATCATTACTGACTCGTAGACAAACTTCCAAAGGGTTTCCAAGGATATAAAAGCAAATGTCATCAACATATTTGCGGATACTGACCAGTTTAGCTGTGTCATAATTCTGCTTAGAATTTGTATCTGAATGTGAGTAATGTTCCATTACCTCATTATCATAACTCCATAAGCTTTTCTAGATTGAGACCAGTTCCATAACTTACTTATATTTTTATATGATATGCCATAACCAGCAACTTACATATTGCAGTTAATAGATTCCTTTTTAAAAAATTAATATAATTAACCAAGAAAAATAATCATAAAAACATTGGTTAGAAATTTATCCATAATTATGGGAAAGTCAACTGTGAGGGACATCTCAAGAGTACGGAAGAGCAACAATGTCAGGCTGAAGACTAAGGTACTCTTGATGCAATTACATGCTATGCATCAGAGAGTTGGACAGTGAATAGAGATGCTAGAAAGAGAATTGATGCCTTTGAACTGTGGTGCTGGAGAAGAGTGTTGAATATACCATGGACTGCTAGGAGAACTAACAGGTTTGTCCTGGAGAAGGTGAAGCCAGAATGCTCCTTGGAGTCAAGGATTCTGAAGCTTCGTCTGACATACTTTGGGAATGTTACAAGGAGGGACTGGTCCTTGGAGAGGGACATCACGTTTGGGAGAGTGAAGGGAGGGCGTGGGAGAGGAAGACCCCCAATGATATGGATCAATTTGTGAATGGAGTGGTGTGAATGAATGTGTTTGAGACGGCAAGTTTGGCACAGGATAGAAAGGCATTTAGGGCTCTTGTACATATAGGGTTGCTATGAGACGCAAACAACTCGATGGCACATAACAACAACAACAACAAAAACAACATGAGAAATACTGGATAAAAAGAACAATTTAAACAAAAAAAACCACAAAAACCTAGTATTTAGTTTAACTACTTTGGAGAATATATTTAACCTAAACATAATGAATATGAATATATAATTTATAATATCTAAGATGAAATATAGTGTTCATGATTAAAAACCATGATCCTAATCATATTTCAGTAACACAGATTACACTTGATTGCACATATGTACAATGAGCTAGCCTTTTCATGATCTAATCTTCTATTTCTCTGTTTAAATAATTTTCTATTTTCCATTTGTCATTCAGTTCACTACTTTACTCAATATACTTTTGACAGTTTACCAGGCGCAGGGAACTGTGGCAAGTACTTAAATTAGAACAATGAACAAAAGAATAAATTTTCTGTTCACATAGAATAACAGAGGAATAGTTAAGTGTTAGAGAATAATTTGAAAAATCACAAGTAGTACATAGTCTGATAATCTATCAAGATAAGTTAATGTAATTAATCATGAGAAAAATTGAGAGGCATCATTTGGCTCAGATATGTTTGTGTTGAATATCTAATGTAGTCTTGGCTTTGATGTTTAATCTGATAATTATTTTTAATTGAAGACACTATACTTATTGAGAACCTACTTCATAACATATTTATAAGCTTTCTTTCATTCATCTCATTTTCTCAACTAGGTATGATTTTATTATTCTCGTTGGATGCTGTTGAGTCAAGTACAGCTCATTGGAACCCTATGAACAATAGATCTGAAACCTGTCTTATCATGTGCCGTCCTCATCATCTCTGACATACTTGAGCCCATTGCTGTAGTCACTACATAAATCCATCTCATTGATGGTCTCTCTTTCTTTTGTTGACCCTCCACCTTTCCAAGAATGATATCTATTCAAAGAATAGCTTTTCTAACAGTATACTCAAAACAGATGAGATGAATCTTTGTTATCTTTGCCTCCAAGGAACACACTGGTGTTCTTTTATCAAGACACTGGTTCTTTTGGCAGTCCATGAAATATTCAGTACAATTTTCCAAAACAACACCTCAATAAAAATCTGTCAAAGTTGCATGTGTTTTGCAAAAACCTCCAAAACAATCTAATTTCAGAATTATTTTAAAATAATTTATTTACAAATAAAATTCTACAAAGACATCGTTTTTATGTAAATACAACATATGTCAAAGGTGCACTTGATTCAGGTCACCTGAAAGCATGTGGTTTGAATCCACCATCTGCTCCATGGAAAAAGGATGAGAAATCTCCTTCTGTGCCATTAGCTGCCTCTGAAAAGCCATGGAAGATCAGCTATGGGTTGGTTCTGACTTTATGGTAGACAACAACAATAGCATGCATCTGAGAGCTGGACAGTGAATAATGATAACAGAATAAGAATCTACGTCTTTGAGCTGTGGTGTTGGAGAATAATGCTGAACATCATATGGACTGCCAAAAGAACAGATTATGTCTTAGAGAAATTGCGACCAGTGTACTCTGTGAAGGCAAGGATGGAAAAGCTTTGTTTCACTTTCTTTGGACATGCTGTCAGGAGGTGTTATTTCTTCAAAAACAACATCATGCTTAGAAAGGGAGAGGGTCAGTGAAAGACAGGAAGAACTTCAATGAGTAGAATCCACGTGACTGCAGCAATAGAGGTGGCACAAGATAGGACAGGATTGAGATCTGTTGTTTTAGGTACTATTGGAATCAAATGAGACTCTTAGTGATCCTATGAACGAAAAAACACTTTTGTTTTCATTTTACTTCATCCCAAATCGTTAAGGTGATCTAATCTACTTTTTAAAATTAACATATAAATAAAATCAATCTGATTTACCTTACATAACACATATAAAACTGTTATTTCTGAAACTGTGAAAGAGTGGAAACTCTCTAATGTTTTGGAGAATTCAGTGGACACAAAGCCTGTTTTGGCGAATTCACGTTACATAAAGCCTCTGTGGATGCTATCTGCTGTGACGTGACTTGGGGACACCACTCGCCCGTTGTCCTATAGTCAGTACCACTGGCTTTATAACTGCCCTTGCAGTGATTTTTCAGAAGCTGAAAATCATGTGGGAGGAAATTGCCCATCTTTTTCCTATGAATCAGCTAGTAGATTTGAACACTAGCTTTGGGTTACTAATACAACTCCTTCAAGAGTACGGATAGCAGAGTTTTCAAACCAGCTTGATGCTCTATTTCACTGTTAATTAATATCTCTCCTTGATAATTTCAGAAATGCTATTTTGATTTAAATTTAAGGAAAGATTACTATATGTCACTTAATAGAGATTTAACATTAATAACATGAATAAGACATGCCAAACAAATAAATGTCTATCTAATGCTTTTTATAGCAGGAGTCAGAAAGATCATCATTTGGATTCTAATCATATAACAAATGTTAGGTAGACACATCACAGTTTTAGCCAACATACAAGCAATGATGTTAAGAAGATGTAATCACTCAGAAGTAAGTTTGGACTACATTATGCTTTTCTCAAGGGCATTACTCTTGGCACAAACTTGCACTATAAAAAATATATATTTAGACAAAAAGACGAGTGTTCCTCAAGCTGACGGAGTACTATTCTTCAGAGCCGTCATCTCCAAGAAGTTATGTACTTATTTCAAGAGGTCTGAATGCTTATACTGTTTTTGAGCATCCTTTCTAAATTCCTTTCAAGACTTAAAATATAGTAAATCTTTGGTAATTAATTATTACTGTCGAGTCAGAATCCACTCATAGCTGATCCTCCAATAGGGTTTCAGAGGCTATAAATTGCACAACAAGAGACAGCCCATCTTTCTCTTATGGAGCACCTGGTGTATTTGAAACACCTGCTTTGAGTTGACAGTGAAACTTACTGTGTTAGACTGCATTTTTAATCAAGTACTTAGAACTAACTCTCTTCTGAAGATCATTTTGGAAAGCATATTTTGAGATTAAAAGAAACTCCCAATAAGCAAAGCACTCCTTAAATAGAGAAACAAGGTAGGAGGCATCTCACTCCCTGACTCCAAATCCTACTACACTCAAGGTCAAGACAGAGTGGTACTGGTACAATGACAGACACATAGATCAGTGGAATAGAATTGAGAATCCAGAAATCAGCCCATCTCCCTATGGTCAACTGATTTTTGACAAGGAGATGAAATCAGTTGGAAACAACAGCCTTTTTAATAAATGCTGCTCACAAAATTGGAAAATTCTGCAGAAAACTCAAGCAAGATCCACACCTCACTCCATATACAAAAACCAGTTTGAAGTGGATTATGGACCTAGGACTAAAACCAAGGACTATAAACTTCATTAAAGAAAAACTTGGAAGAACTCTAGAAGTCCTAATTCACAACATAAACAGTCTTCCAAGAATCCTGGAAAATCTACAACCAGGAGAGGATAAAATAGATGAATGGGATCTTCTAAGAGTCAAATCCCTACGCACATCCAAAAACTTCTACAACAAGGTAAATAGAGAAGTCACAGATTGGGGAAAAAAATTGGTAAATAACATATCAGACAAGGGACTTATACCTAGAATTTATAAAATAGTCGAGCACCACAACAAGATAAAGGTAAATAACCCAAAAGCAAAATGGACTCAGGATATGAATAGACTCTTCACCAAAGAAGACATTCAGATGGCCAACAGGCACATGAAGAAATGTTCAAAATATCTAGCTCTAAGAGAGATGCACATCAATATGAGATATCATCTCACTCCAGTAAGAATAGCAAAATTTAACAGAACAGCAAACATCAAATGCTGACGAAGTTGTGGAGAAACTGGAACCCTTATTCACTATTGGTGGGAGTGTAACCTCTATGGAAGGCTGTATGGAACTTTCTCACAAAGTTGCAAATAAAAATACTATTTGACCCAGCAATTCCACTACTTGGAATTTACCCTAAAGAAACCATAACCACCACCCAAGCAGATATATGTACACCCATGTTTATTGTGGCTTTGTTGGCAATAGCAAAGAGCTGGAAACAACCCAAGTGCCCATCAATAAATTAACGGATAGAAAAGCTGTGGTATATTCACACAATGGAATATTATGCAGCACTGACAAACAAGGAACTCATGAAATATTATCCAAAATGGGTGACCCTGGAGGACATTATGCTGAGTGAAATATCTCAGTCACAAAAGGACAAATACTGCATAGTGTCACTGTTGTAAAATGGGACTGAGGGAAGGCAGAAAAGGAGGGGATAAATGATGTATACTGCATTGAAACAGATGAGGGAGAGAACTGTTTAAAAGGGATATATGATTGGGTATTACTGTCATGACAGGAGTCCAGAATGAAGGCTGCACAATGGAGTGGACTTGGGAAGGAGGAATTGCATAACAATGAAAGAGTTTTTCTTTTACTTTTCAAGGAGGAAAGTGGATTGTGGTGGGGGGTGGGGGGCTGGCGCTGGGAGAAAAGTGCAACAATGAATGAATGGAAACCCTAAGTCTCTATAAACTTTTAAAAATTAATTAAAAAAGAACACAAGAAGTATTTCTTATACTTTTAGAATATTGTTATTGTTGTTGTTATTGTTGTGTACCATCAAGTTAGAACTGACCCATAGCTGACCGTTCAGTGGGTTTTCAGAGGCAGTAATTGCAAGGGGATTGTCCATCTTTCTCCAGCAGTACAGTGGGATTGCAGTACAGAGTCTTACTACTAAGCCACTTGAGCTCCCTTCTGGGATATGATAAATATTAAATTTCAAGCTGTACATAGGTTTGTTATAAGTCATAGGCAAGTCAATGTCACATAACAACAATAACAACAACCTAGTAAAGTTTATTAAAGCTATAACTTTAGCATTATAATCTTTTCTTTAAAAATATTTTAATTGATTTTGATAATTTTTGGTAATTTTATTTGCTCTAAATTCTTACTTTACATCAAATTCATTTAAGAATTATATGTTTGTTGTTGTTGTTGTTGTTGTTAGGTGCCATTGAGTCGTATAGCGACCCTATGAATGAAAGACCTGAGCACTGTTCATAGAGTTTCTGGAGGCAAGCTGTTTCAAAAGTGGACTCCTCTCCTGCTTCCAGGCTTGTTTTAATCGGGAAGCTCCACCAAACACTGTCCACCATGGGTAACCATTATCACATTTGGCACATCAGTGTCACAGTGTTTAGCATCACAGCAACCACAAGTTACATCTGTACAGCAACGCTAGTGCTATGCCGCCTAGAATTAGAATTAGATAGATAGATAGATAGATAGATAGATAGATAGATAGATAGATAGATACAGATATAAATTTACAAAGGGAAAAAAAGGATTTAGATTTATAATAATATCTATATGTAGTAACAATACAATACAATACAATACAGGCCTTCAAAAACTCTATGTTCAATAAAGCATACTTACAGTAGACTAGCAGACATACACTAAAGACTACAGTTAATATAATTGATGAAAGAAAATGTAGCAGTTTTCTTATAATCTGACCTTCACTTTCAAATAGCGAACCTAACATGGTGACTTTTCTTTGTTGTTTCTTTGATTGACTTTTTATTTAAATTGTTGTTGTTGCTATATGCCATCAAGTCCACTACAATTCATAGCAGCCCTGTGAAGAATGGCTCTGACCCCTGATCTATCCTGAGCCTGTCTCACCTTCTCTGACACACCTGCCCTCATTGCCACTATCACTATCTCAATCCATCTCATCCACAGGCTTCCTCTTCTGTGTTAACCCTCTACCCTTCCAAGCATAATGTCCTTCACCAAGGACTGCTCTCTTCTAGGACCATGCCCAAAATATGTGAGACATATTTTCAAAATTCTTACCTCCAGGGGACAACCTGGTTTGACCCTCTCTAGGACAGACCTGTTTGTTCATAGAGTTCTCAAAGGCCTGTCATTTCAGAAGCAGATAGAAAATTCTTCTCCCTGGTCTGTTTTAAACTGGGAGCTCCAGTTTAGTAAAGAATGTGACAGACAAACACTATGCAAAAGAGCAGATGACAGAGAAACAAGCATATACATTATGGGAAGCCAATACTAAATATTTGAAATAAACTGAATGCTATTTCAGGATGTGGGGGAGATAAGGTACAAGCCAGAGTTCACCCTGAGGCACTAAGGCAATCCTTAAGGGTTTACCAGATTCTTGCATTTGGTAACCCCTCCCTGAGGAGTCAAGGGAAAGGTTTTTCAATAGAAAGAGCTTGGCTTCATTTGCATTGAATTCTCTTTGTGATTTACTTCCAGATAATTTTCAGTAAAGATACAGAGAAGCTTGGCTTGGGGGTCCTCAGTCTAGAAGTGCTAGTCCCCTGTTTTATGCTCTCTGCTCTATCTCATTCCTGACTGTTTGTCTCATTATTAATAATTATAAAATTATTCCATTCTTTGGGACCCTCGGTCTGCAACAATACATATCTAAGCTATTGAGAACAGCAACATGCATAGACACTTCCCTAATACAAAAACTGACAGATAAATTTATCATTGGTTTTCCAACTCCACCCCTTGTGAGGGGCTGCAAGAAGAGATCCTGATAATGTAGAGCAATTTTAAAAATCAAAATCTACCTAACTACTGCACTCTAATATTTAAATATTTTTGTTTCAAAATATTTTTGAACTTTATACTAGGTTCTAGGATCAAGGAAGGAATTTATACAGAAATCATTTAAATTGTTTTATTACTTGCAGTGGAAAAGGCCCAGGAGGCAGCACAGTTTTTTTGATCCAGTGGACCATGGGTCCATCCAGGCCACTTGTAAGAAGCAACAAAGAAGTCTGGAAGATCCGTTGTCACAGGCAAAGTTGTCTAAAGAGAAAGAAGAACCAAATGTGTTATATTTTTTCACTTGTGTAGTAATAACCTTCATAAGATAATATCACAGGCTTTCATAGTTTTTATTTTTTTATTTTTTTTTTAATTTTTGTGTGCGTGCACTGTCAAATCAGATCTGACTGGTACAGGAGGAGATTGCCCCTCCTACCCCAGCAGAGCATCTGGTGAATTCGAACCATGCACCTCTGGGATTGTAGTTACAGCTTCGTGCCACTAGGCTACCAGAGCTCCCCAGTTTTTATTTTTTAATCATACACTTAAGATTTCAGGATGACATCCATGATGAGTATTAGAATACATAACTTCAATTTTACTCAAATGTTACAAATTACGGTTAAATGTGGAAAATGAAAACATCATTCAAGATCATAAAAAATAATTGCTAGAATGCTTTTTCTGGATTAGTATCCAATGCAATAATTTCAACCAAAGTGTTTATCATCTTTGTTTAAAGTTCACATCCATGTGAACGACAGCATGATGTTATTTAAACTTATCCTCAGAAAGAGCATTTTCTTGTATGTTCCTCCTATTCTGGAAAATGTGTGATTCTGAGGTGAAATTAATTTCAAAATTATGTATTTTTAGAACCAATATATTAACACACATTCCATGGAACACATGAATTTTAAAACTGTGATGAACTAGTTGGTATTTATAAAACTCTCAATGATTATATAAAAAGAACCCACATAAAACAACTGAAGAATTATTCAGGAATACAACAATACTATGATGTGTTAAATGTTTGTTGTAAAGTTCAATAGCATTTCAGAAGGAAATTTAAGGATTGTGTTATGTATACCACTAAATTAAATGATGCTATTTGTTCTAAATGCTTTTTTTAAATGAGCTTAATTTCCATAAATAAATAGGGCTTCAGATGAATAAGAACTCATATATTAATTTTTCATCACTTATGCATTCTCTCTCTTTTTCCCTTCTTCCTATCTCTCTCAGATACAAAAGATACACACATCCCACTTTTTAAAAGTATTTTAATGTTTGTTTTCAAATTCATTTTCTTTGATCTCTTCTAGAGTTCTACATGATATAATTAGTGCATATAATAACAATATACTGTGAAAGTGCAAGATGGACAATATTGTCCCAGCCAATTTACAGTCTCTAAAAATATGCTAGATATAGGGTCAGTGATTCAAACACAAGGGTACAGAAAAACAGCATACTTTGAATGAGAAAGTAGGACTGAAATGAGAGAAATTATTACTTATGCCTGATGGATTTTGGCTGAAAGCAGAGAAGAAAAAAAACCACAACAAACAAACAAACAAAAAATCCCAAACTTTTTTACTTGTGTTTTATTGACTATTCAAAAGTATTCAACCATGAGAATTATAATAAATTATTAATAACCTTGAGAAAAATAGGGATCCTAAAACATTTAGTTGTACTCACATAGAAACTGTGTATAGATCAAGAAACAAATATTTTAACAGAACAAGGGAACACTGCATGATTAAAATGAGTAAAAGTCTGTATCACTATTGTACTCTTACATTATGCCCAATTAATCTTTAATCTGAGCAAATAATCCAAGAAGCTGGACTATATGAAGAAGGATATGGCATCAAGATTGGAGGAAGACTTACCAATAACCTGTAATACAAAACCTTACATGCTGAAAGCAAAGAGAACTTGAAGCAGAAAGTGAAAATAAAAAGAAACTAAAAATGGCCTTCAGTATGGATTACACTTCAGTTTAAAGAAAACAAAAATTCTTTCAACCAGATCAACAGGCACCATTATGATACATGAAGAAAATAATGAAATGGTCAAAAATTCCATTTAACTTGGATCCATGACATCCATAGAAAGAAGAGTTTGCATGAAATATGTGTTGCATTGAGCATATATGCTGTTTAGGATGCTTTTAAAAAGACAATATTTTAATGTGCTATGAGCAAGAAATGTGGGGTCAAGGTTGGTGGATGATCTAGCAACAATCTGCGTTATGCAGATGACACAACCCTGCTTGCTGAAACTGAGGAGGACCTGAAGCACCTGCTACAGAGGGTCAAAGGCTGTAGCCCCCAATATGGATTGATGCGCAATGTCAAGAAGACAAAGATTCTCACCACTGGATGGATGATGAAGAGATTGAGATTGTACACAGCTTTAGTTTGCTTGGCTCCACAGTCAACACTCTTGGCACCAGTAGCCAGTAAATTAAAAGGCACATTGCCATGGGAAAGTCTGCTGTTAGGGACCGCTCCAAAGTACTGAAGAGCAATGGTGTTTCTCTGGAGACTAAGGTGTGTCTGATACAGGCCATGGTCTTATGCATCAGAGGGTTGGACAATGACCAAGGAGAACAGAAGGAGAATTGATGCCTTTGAGCTTTGGTGCTGGAGAAGAGTATTGAGAGTACCATGGACTGCTAGGAAAACAAACAGATTCAGCCTAGAAAGGGTTGAACCCGGTGGCTCCTTGGAGGCAAGGATTCTGAGGCTCCGTTCAACATACTTTGGACATGTTGTAAGAAGAGACTGGTCTTTGGAGAAGGACATCATGCTTGGGAGGGTGGAGGGACAGTGCAGGAGGGGAAGGCCCTCTATGAGGTGGATTGATTCGATGACTGGCGTTATCGGGATGGGAGTGTCAGAGACAGTGCGATTGGCACAAGACAGAGCAGAGTTTAGGGCTGTTGTACATAGGGTCGCTATGAGTCACAAGCAACTTGATGGCACATAACAACAACAACAACATGAGCAAGGATGTCTATTTAAAGACTATAGTGTTTCTTTTTCAATGACAGTATATTTCAAAGAAGACTGAAGAAGAATTGATGCCTTTGAATAGTGATTTTGGGGAAAAAGTATCAGATACATCATGGGCTGTCAAAAGAACAAATAATTCTGTCTTATATGCAGTATAGTCAGGATGCTTTTTGGAGTCAAGTACAGTGAAATTTTTTCTGACTTATTTTGGTCATGTTATCTGTTGAGACCAGTCCTTGGAAAAAGACATGTTTGGAAAGGTGAAGGATCAGAGAAGGAAAGGAAGAACCTCAATGAGATAGACTGAGACATTGACAGCAAAATTAAGCACAGAATAGTGGTTAGGATGGTATATGACTAGACAGTGTTAGAATCTGTTGTGCATAGTGTCATCATAAATCAGAATTGACTCAACAGCATCTAACAACAACACAAATGTGTAAACTGTCTTCCAAAAGTCACAAGACATACTAAAGCCTCTGAGTTAAACAAGAAATATTCCTGGGACTAGACAAAGATTTTAAAATTATTAACACCCAGTTGTATTTGTATCATTTTCCTATATCATGAGAAATACACAGATACTTTGCACCATAATAAGATAATATTAAATAATATGTACTTAAGTTTTACCTACATTTAAAATACTTTATGACTTCATAATGATTCACTGAACAAATCATATTAGTGATCCAGTATCTTGCAAACACTATTATCACTCACAAGAACTTAATAACTTCAAATATTAAAGCAAATAAAGTTTTGATTATGTATGTCTACTTTAAAAGTTATGTCCAAAATAAATTGTGAATTAGAGTCTTAATGGGATAGTTTTGGTTTCTTTTGTGTGTGTTTTATTTTTTTTTTTTTAAGAACTACCTACTATAATCTTATAGTACGTCATCAAATCTTGCAGTTCATTGCTGGAAATACTGTCAATGGGTTTATGATTTTAGGTTCTGAACAGAGAAGCCACACTAAAAAGCCTTAAGGTTGGAGTGGAAGAAATTTACTATTTGTTTTATAGTTGCGCACTGAGCCTTCAAAAGAGCCTATACACTGGAGAAAGAAACGTACGTTATTTCAAGCATGACTCCTCTTTCACTGCTGTTTTTAATGACTTGTCAGTACGATTTTCAGCATTTGTAATATTAAGTTGACTTGACATTGAGCCTTTGGATAAAATAGATGAGTGTCTTTGCTAATTTTATTTATTATTTTATAATTCTAATACAAGAAGTTCTAGTAGTATTGTTTTGACTGGTGATATTGAGCTTCTCCAAAGATTTCTGCCACAGATGTAGTCAATCAGATTGCTATGCAGTCCACCCGGTAAGGACATTGTATAAAACTGGCCATATGTGGGGTTTGTTTTTTTAAAAAGAAACCAAACAAAAAGGTATCTGCAGTGACTAAATCATTGAATGTAACAAATGGATCATTCTATATCTGGCTTAATTTCTGTCATCATGTCCATAATTCCCAACTATACTTCCCTCTTCATTGTTTACAGATCATGCATTTCAGTCTTCTTTTATCATTAACACATTTTGCCTGTATGGTTGGTCAATTTTTGACTGAAAAATTTGATAAAAATCTTCAATTTCCTTATCTTTGGCTTTCACTATAGGAGTGTACAATTGAATAATAGTTATGTTAACAGATCTTCCTTGTATGTGTGTGGATAATATCCTAGCACTAACACCACTGTGCTTCAGGATAGAACGTGACATTGCCTTTTTAACTACTAATGCAACACCATTCTTATTCTGTTTTTTCCTTGCTTGTTGAAAGTAAGGAGGATCTGAAGTGCTTCCTGTAGGTTTAACACTGCAGCCTTCAATAAGGATTGCATCTCAACATCAAGTAAACAAAATTCCTCACCACTGGACTGATAGGAATGCCATGATGAATGGAGAAAAAAAATTGAGACTGTCAACAACTTCATCTTACTTGGATACACAATCATTACACATGGTACCAGCTGTCAGGAGATCAGGAGATAATTTTGCACTGAGAAAGTTTGTGGTCAGGGACCTTTCTAAATTATTGAGGATAAATAATGTCACTTTGAGGAAAAAGGTGCACCTGATTCAGGCTATGGTCTTTTCAATCACTTACTATGCATCTAAGAGCTGGATAAGGGAGACAGAAGAATTGATGCTATTGAACTGTGGTTTTAGAGAGGTATGCTGAAGATTTCACGGACTACCCAAAGAACAAAAAGGTATG